CTCAGTAGGAAGGAGACACAGAGCACTACCAGTTAAATAAACTAATTTATAGTTCTTGGATGCAAGCATATTCATCAGGGAAGTCCTCCAGAGTTGCTTCTTTAATGCTTTGGGATGTCATCTGATTAATTCTGAATTGCTCTGATCATGACCTGCAGTATGTCCTGTTGAAAATAGGCCATTTTTTCTGTAAATTCAAGATTTTATAGGAGATATATAAACAGCTGTAACTTTACATTTCTGACACAATTACAGGTAGTCATCGACTTAAAATGGGTTGTTTATAGACCATTTGAAGTTCCAACGGATCCCAATAAAGCTACTTACAACATGATTTGAAGTTCCGATGGTCAGCCACACCTTGCAGTCACATGATTGTATTTTGGGTGTTCAGCAAGTATTCATGGCTGTTTACAGCGTCTTGCAATTTACATTTTTGCTGAAAAGCAGCATTTTTTTGTTTTCACATGGCTGCAATTTACAACATTTTGCTGAAAACCAGCTTTTATTTCCAGTTACCAGCAAAAAATACCCATAGTGAACTATGGGTTGGCCTAATACTGCAGCATTCATTTAACGACCATGGTGTTTGCTTAACAACTGCTGCAAAAAAAGATTGTAAAATTGGGCACGGTCATATGATGACTAGCTTAATGACTGTCATAATTTACAACCATAATTGTGAGTTCATTTAAGGTCATAAATCAAGGACTACTTTCCGATCAATAGCGTGATGGTATGCCAAACAGCCATACAGATAGGTTTTTGGGGTTTTTTTTGTTTTTGTTTTTTGCAAAAGTATACAGAAGGAAAGATTTTCCTGCATTCCAACTATTTGTGAGAGATGGGTAGGACAATGATATGCATTGTATATCCAGGCAAAAACTGTGAAGCATTTCAGACACAGATGCAAGGAGCATCCTTCACTTTTGTTAAGACAGTATTTGCATCACTATTTCTACCCGGGGAACACTGTAGGGATGCCATTAAATAAATAACGAATAGATTGTCCTACAGAGCATTGGGAAGAAGGAATTGTGGAATCAGAGGTGTTTCAGGAGTGTAGAAGAAAGTTGTTGGGCACAGCCAAGCGAGAGGAGGAGCATGCCATGATGCCCATAAAATCATGGGGCTTTGAAAGCGGGGCTATGGCTGTCATGTGCACTTTTCTCATCCCCTTGAAGATAGCCATGTACAGAATTAGGATGACTAGAAAGCAGTTAATGCAAAATGTCAGATTCCTTTTATGTTTTTCTCAAAAGAAACTAGAAAAGTTGATGGGAAATAAAAAAGAAAGAAAGCCCCCATAAGCAATAATGTTACAAGATGCTTGGAAATCATAACCTATAACCTTCTACCCTGTATTCCTTGGTTCTCTTTGCCTTCCCTTTATTCATTTGTTGGTTTATTCATAAGATGCATATGGGTGCCCAACTCGCATAATCATGTCCAAACTCAGGTAATTATATATACCGAATAATTATAGGTAATAAACCAATCAAGAACAAAAACATAACCAACAAATCACACTACATGTTGCTGCAATAAACACAACAAGCATTTGGTTTCCTAGAGGTTAGGTTCATCTCTTATTCTGGTTCAACATCTGGAGGAATTTTTTCAAAAGACTAACAAGGTACGGTACTTTCATTCAAAGCATTTCCAGTTATTTCTGTACAGGTAGTCCTCAACTTATGACCACAATTGAGACCAAAATTGTTGTTGCTAAGCAAGACATTTGCTAAGTGAGTTTTGCCCCATTTTATGACCTTTCTTGCCACAGCTATTAAATGAATCGCTACAGTTGTTATGTTAATAACATGGTTGTTAAGTGAATCTGCTTCCCCATTGATTATGCTTGTCAGAAGGTCACAAAATGGAATCCCATGACTCTGGGACACTGCCGTCATCATAAATATGAGTCAGTTGCCAAGCATCTCAATTTTGATCGTGTGACCACGGGGATGTTGCAATGGTCGTAAGTGTGAAAATGGTCATAAGTGACTTTTTCCAGTGCAGCTGTAGCTCTGAACAGTCACTAAATGAACTTTTGTAAGTCAACGACTACCTGTATTTTGGATTTTCCCCATTCACCTATGTACTGCCCAATTATATTAGTGAATAAAATAGCATTAGGGGAAAAAATATTGACATAGGATGCACTGAAAAGTGGAGGTTCTGCAAATCAATGTTCTATATATAGGCTTCCTGGAGTCTTGAAAACATGGAGGAAACATTTAAGCATCGCATATATTAACATTATTTTATTCCAATTCTTTTGCAAATTGTATTTGGAGAAAATCTATGTGTTTTTATGCATCACTTTGCCTAAGAAGCATAATCTTGCACATAGCTTATCCAAGTTTTTATGTCAGTTACCATCAGTATGTTTTTAGTTTTCGGTAATATATTCTGATTTTTTTTTCAAGGTTTAATATATTGTTTCATACAAACTTGGGGAATGAAGAATAAAGGATGCTGGCAGATATGTACATTGTTGCCACTTGGACCGGACAAAATTTGCATTTTGCATTGTTCATCAAACAATTAACTTAAATGGGGGAATCGTGGACAGATATTGGCAATGATAATGTCATATCTAGATATAAAGGTTCTACTAAACTGATGACTTTTCAAATATATCACTAATCTGTTTAAAAATCCTGATCAATTAGTTGATTAGTTAGGAGCCTCTAACCAAATATATGTCCTTTTTGGGTATACATTTTCTTTTTTCTTATAATGCTATCTTTTTGCTGAGAGCAAGAGAAGACAGGCCTTCTTCTGGGCTTCTGCCCAGGAAGTGAATCTGATAGACTTGAGCTCTTAAGACAGTTGTTGCTGCTAGTTAAATCTGAGTCACAAACCAGCTGGATTTGTTAGAAGCAGCTGCTTCCTTTAGGAGGGCAGAAATTCTAAGTCATACCCTTCCAGTGGCCTTCTGCTCCCCTGTGACGCATAGATCCCTTGGTGCACCAGTAGTAAAAAACAGAAAAGCTTAAGCACAATTGAAATGGAAGACAGCACTGCCTGAGGATCTGTCTTTCCAACGTTAAGAACAAAACCCCTCTCTTCCCCTAACTGGTTTTTCTTCTCAAAGATGCAGGAAATCCATCACTCAAGTGGATGATGCCCTGCAGCAAGTCTGAACTATACAGATTCATGTTCAGGTTGATTTAATCTGAATAGCAGATCAGCCAGTAATCAGAGTATACCTTTTCCCTACAATTTTGGGGATTATGCAAGTCTGTGGTAGACTAGTGGGTAAATTATAATATTTGAGATTTCATGTGATGGGAAGAACTGCATTTTTTACTACTCTCCTGCAGAAAAAAAAAAGCTGAGGTCTCAGTGTGTAGAAAACCAACACCTAGAACTAAGGAGAAACTTCCTGACAGTTAGAACAATTAACCAATGCAACAACCTGCCTCCAGAAGTGATGAATGCTCCAACACTGGAAGTTTTTAAGAAGAGACTGGACAGCCATCTGTCCGAAATGGTGTAGGGTTTCCTGCCTGAGCAGGGGGTTGGACTCGATAACCTCCAAGGTCCCTTCCAACTTTATTATTATTATTATTATTATTATTATTATTATTATTATTATTATTATTATCATTATTATTATCATTATTATTATCATCATTATCATTATTATCTAAGCAAAGATGCTTCCCCTTCACATACTGGTTTTTTACACAGATGAATTAGATGTGTATGTATGCACTTGCAATACAGTTACCTTAGATGAAAATATTGTTGTTTTTTAAAAAGCAATCTCTCACTTCCTATTAACTGTTACAACAGCTATATATCTGGGCATGCATCTTCATTTTACAGTTCTTTGAACTTTAGGCTTTTCATATGACAATCTTTATTGTTTATTAAAATATTCTCTGCAAAACCTGTGGCTGGTTTCAGGTAACCTGCTAAAATAAACTTGGCTTGGCCTTTATGGCTTATGACTTATAATTATTGAATGTGCCAAATGTGGCCTATTCAATGCACAATTTTTATTTATTTATGTATGTATTTATTAGAGCGGTGCAGTAGCCTAATCATGAAGATGCTCGCCTTCCACTTGGAAGGTTGAGAGTTCAATCCTAGGTAGTGGCAGATGTTTCTTTCCTAAAACGCAAAGAAAAAAACATCTGCTGTGAACTCCAGGTGGCATCCTGAAGGGCATCCAGTCAGTAAATGCTCAGCTCTGTCCAGTTACTCCAACTCTACCCCAAATAAAGGGATTACAAGATCGTAGAAAGGGAGTTTTTTATTTTATGTATCTTTTAAATTTGTTTGCTGCCTATTTTGCTGCGTGATCACTCTGCTATTGAGTTGTTATTATTACATTATGCTTGGATGTGGTGTATAAACTTAGTTTGTATGTATGACAGATGCAGAAGCAAAAAGGGACAGAATTTGAGAGGGGGGCGGAAAGGCAGAACATCCAAAAGGAACTCAATTGGTCAAACTCTCCTAGAGACAGTTCCCCAGCATGGCAGAGCGGTTGTGTTAACCATGATGCTTTTTTCCAGTGTAAACAATATGGGTATATGATACCCGTTCTTGAAAGGCCACAGCAAACAACCAGAAACAAGGCCAGAGTATTCTCAGAATCAGATGGAAACCATTACATCATTGAACAGAAGAAGGCATGGGAATTTGATCCTTAATTTCAGTATAACTAGGGCTTCCATTTAATATACAGCAATCATTGGAATACTTTCACAATAACTTCTTTACTTTTTCAGCAATATATCTACTTATTAAAAGTTCTTGAACCTGTTTATCTGCTTCCAGTTTGTCATGAGAAGCCTGAGAGGGTAGATCTCTCAGGCTTCTCATGACATAGCTATTGTACGAACCTGGATACTAGGTCAAACAAGCACTCACTCAACCAATAGCACTTGTGATGTTATCCAGTTTGGGTAATGAAACATCTGCAAGAAAACAACCAAACTCCGGAGCACCATGGACCCCTCACTCACTCAACCCTCACTTACCCTTGTTCTTCCATCATCTCCTGCAGCTCCATGCACTTCAGCTCCACCCGCCGTTTCCTCTCATGGTCCAGGATCTCTCGGTGTGCCTTCTTCACCAAGCCAGATTCTACCAGTCGCACTTCCTCTTCTGGTTTGTGCCAAGTGCCTGAGGCACTGGGCTGGGGGAAGCCATTGGATGCCTCCTGGGGTGAAGGCATCTTGGTGCCGTTGTTATAGACAGACATGTAAACTGGGTGGTCTTTGGTGGTTCAGGCTGAAAACTAGGAAGAGAGGAAAAGCACATATTTATTTTTTTATTCTGGAAGGGGGAAAAAAATTCCTCTGAACAATTTACTATTAAAATTAACATTGGCAGATAATTTCATTGGGATCACACTCTGATTGTGTTCACTCAACACGCTTAATTGACGAATTATTGATAACTGACTTAATTTCAGAATATCAAAAATACATTGAATCGTGAACAAGTTAGTTTTATACAACATGCTAAGCCACAAATAACCCAAGCATAGTATGTAGATTCAACAACAACTGTTAACTAAGCTGATTATATTGAATTCACATAGCCAAAACGCTTTTAAGGTGCGAAAGAGAGGCAATAATTATGATGAGTTGAAGTCCATGTATCTTTAAGCTACCAAGGTTGGGAAATATTGCTCTATGATATATTTTCGATGAATAAATATCCTATCTGTTATACAGATAAAATATGCTTCACTAATAATTATTCAGATAAGATTCTTGCTCCCAGGAACAGACACGAGTTAGTAGTCCTTGAGTTACAACAGTTTATTTAGTGACCATTCAAAGTTACAATGGCACTGAAAAAGTGACATGACCCTTTTTTTTATGATGGTTGCAACATCCTGTAGTTCATATTTATGACAGTTGCAGTCTCCCGGGGCCATGTGATTACCTTTTGTGACCTTCTGACAAGCAACATCAAGGGGGAAGCCAGATTCACTTCACAACCATATTACTAACAACTGCAGCGATTTATTTAACAGCTGTGGCAAGAAAGGTTGTTAAATGGGGCAAAACTCACCTAACAACTGTCTCACTTGGCAACAGAAATTTTGGGCTCAGTTATGGTCGTAAGTTGAGGACTACATGTACACACTTAGTATGCTTCATGTAGAAGAAAAGAAAATCAGAGACACATGAAATTAGGGAGCTAAGAAATGGGCATCGCAATCAGTTCATTAAAACATCCTCAAATGTACATGCTAGTAGATGCTAAAAAATAGCATCTGAGAATCAGTTGTTATTGAAACATTAAGTGATCCTTGAGTGTCTACTTAAACAAAAGATCTGCTTAGGGCACACATGCCATATTTTAATAATAATAATACAGTTGGAAGGGACCTTGGAGGTCATTGAGTCCAACCCCCTGCTCAGGCAGGAAACCCTACACCATTTCGGACAAATGGCTATCCAGTCTCTTCTTAAAAACTTCCAGTGTTGGAGCATTCACTGCTTCTGGAGGCAGGTCATTCCACTTGTTAATTGTTCTAACTGTCAGGCAATTTCTCCTTAGTTCTAGGTTGCTTGTCTCCTTGACTAGTTTCCATCCGTTGCTTCTTGTCCTGCCTTCAAGTGCTTTGGAGAATAGCTTGACTCCCTCTTCTTTGTGGCAGGCCCTGAGATATTGGAACACCGCTAACATGTCACCCCTTGTCCTTCTATTCATTAAACTAGACATATCCAATTCCAGCAACCGTTCCTTATATGTTTTAGCCTCCAGTCCCCTAATCATCTTTGTTGCTCTTCTCTGTACTCTTTCTAGAGTCTCAACATCTTTTTTACGTCATGGTGACCAAAACTGGATGTAGTATTCCAAGTGTGGCCTTACCAAGGCATTGTAAAGTGGTATTAATACTTCACGTAATCTTGATTCTATCCCTCTGTTAATGGAGCCTAGCACTGTGTTGGTCTTTTTGGCAGCTGCAGTACACTGCTGGCTCATATTTAAGTGATTGTCCACTAGGACTCTGAGATCCCTCTCACAGTTACTACTATTGAGCAAGGTAACACATATACTGTACCTTTTGAGGGACACCATGGAAATGGCCCATGGAATCTCATACATTTACTACTATAGAGATTCAAAAAAGGGTTCCCAATGCCACATTCAACCCTGGGAAAGCTTGATATCTGAATGATTCATGTATTATTTTGCTCTCAAGCCATTAAGACTGCTTTTCTCACTCTAATGCCCTCCAGTGTGTTACCCTTTAATCTCTAGGAGATGATAGAATCTCAAATCTAACATATGAAAGTCATCAGTTTAAGGAAGGCTGCGTTAGTCACTTTAAAATTAAAGCATAGCGCTCTCATCCTGAAACTGACACTGGGAAACATAGCCAACAAAAGAAACTGGTATAAAGTGCATGAGATAAATCAGAGTGTTTGAATTTCAGAATCAGAATTTGATTTCATTGTAGAGAATAATACTGAATGAAGGAAAGCAAGCAGAGCGAGATTTTACTGATTAGAATTACTCAGTGTTATTGCAAGTCATCAAACAGAAACTCACATCTTCAAAACTGCTATATATCAGTAACCCAAACCAGGCAATGTCGATTACTATATATCGCATTTTGTCAAAATCTGATTGCCAGATTTCAGCTCTTGTCAATTTGAACAGTTGCAAAAGCTTTGCATGACAAAGAAGACTGATAAAAAGACACATCTACTTTTAAAAATTAATTTATTCCAGCTCCTACTTTCTTTTATCTTATCCAGTCAAGAAGTTTATTTCCAGCTTAATAAAAATCAGCAATACAGCTAAGGAAGGGAGGAGGATGGCACCCAAGAACCACTGAGAAAGTATATGCAATATCATGATGCATACAGTGCTGTGAACTAATATAAACAACATTGTTTTAAACAGGTTTAAACCGTGCATTGATGACCTCAAGAGAGATTGATGAACTGTGATTCTCACAATTTCTAAGCCAGCTGAAGGTCAGTAAAGGATCCAAAACCTGGAAACCACATCTCTAACCCAACCAGATTGGGAAATATGATGGTTCTTTCTGTTGTAGGGGAGTAGGTTCCCAGGATACCCACAGCAACAATTACCAGCTTCACTGATGGGAATAATAATAGTAATAATAATAATAATAATAGTAATAATGGGAAGACAAAGCACTACATGGCCAATACATTAAAAAAATAGCTGGGAAAGTAGATAATAACAAGACCTGGCAATGGCTAAGAGCAGGAAAATTGAAGAAAGAGACCGAGGGACTAATTCTGGCTGCACAAGACCAAGCCTTAAGGACAAATGCATATAAAGTCAAAACTGAGAAGACAGCAACAGACAATAAGTGCCGCCTATGCAAAGAAGCTGAAGAAACAGTGGACCACCTGGTAAGCTGTTGCAAGAAGATTGCACAGACTGACTACAAGCAGCGGCATGACGAAGTAGCAACAATGTGCATTGGAAGGTCTGCAAAAAATATCATTTGCCTGTAAGCAAAAACTGGTGGGATCATAAAATAAAGTCATAGAAAATGATAAAATTAAACTGCTCTGGGACTTCAGAATTCAAACAGACAAGCACCTGCAACATAACACCCCAGACTTAACAATTGTCGATAACAAAGACAAAAAAGTCTGGATAGTGGACGTGGCAGTGCCTGGAGACAGCAGAATAGACGAGAAAGAACTGGAGAAGATAACAAAATACAAAGACCTACAAATAGAAATAGAAAGACTGTGGCAAAGCAAGCAAGGGTAGTACCAATAGTCATAGGCTCCTTGGGTGCAATCCCAAAACAACTGGAGCACCACTTGAACACCATTGGCATTGACAAATTTGCTATTACTCAATTGCAAAAGGCGGCCTTATTAGGAACTGCTTCCATCCTGCGACGATACCTGTAATACCATCAAACATCCACATCTGCCTATCCCAGGTCCTGGGTAAGGACTCGATAGGTAGACAAAATGCCAAATCCAGTCTGAACATCTGGCTGACTGTGCAATGATTAATAATAATAATAATAATAATGTTGGAAGGGACCTTGGAGGTCATCGAGTCCAACCCCCTGCTCAGGCAGGAAACCATACACCATTTCAGACAAATGGCTGTCCAGTCTCTTCTTAAAAACTTCCAGTGTTGGAGCATTCACCACTTCTGGAGGCAGGTTGTTCCACTGGTTAATTGTTCTAACTGTCAGGAAGTTTCTCCTTAGTTCTAAGTTGCTTCTCTCCTTGATTAGTTTCCATCCGTTGCCTCTTGTCCTGCCTTCAGACTCTTTGGAGAATAGTGAGTATGAGTGAACTAAGAATGAAAGCTAGGGTAAAGCTGCCTCGTTTTGCTCCTCCCTACTGACCATCAACCTTTAGAGGTAGTCTAGACAAGAAGCACCAACCATAAGGAATAACCCTACCTTTATTGTAAGGCAGACATGTCAAACACAAGACCCGGGGGCTGGATGCGGCCCGCGAAGTGGTTTCATGTGGCCCACGAAGCCATTCTGGAAACAGTGAGGGAACGCCCCTTGCTGCCTTGGCCCTGGCCCAGGCCAGCCAGGAGCCAATGTACAATTTTGTGATGGCCATCTATGCTGAAACGCATTCAGTCTTAGCTCCACAAGGCCATCTGGAAACAGCGAGGAACCAGAAGAACCTTGAGCAGCAGCCTTGAGGAAGTGGGGCTGGGCTTGGTGCCATGGGTGCTCAAGGGCCAGGCTGGGCATTTGACCTCTGCTGCCCAGGGCTCCGGGCAGCCCGCACCACCAACCCCCCCCCTGCATGGCCTGAGAGGAACATTGAGGCTCCTCCAGTGGACCATGCCTTGGCACTTGCCCCGGTCCCACCCCCTTCTGCCAGAGACCCTCAGATCTGTCCCATTCCTGCCAGGCCCGCACAGACACCCTTGACGAGAATGATGTAGAGCTGGCCATGCCCACCCAGTAGGCCATACCCACTCCATCCACGCCCACCCAGTAGGCTGCACCCACCCTGGCCACACCCACCCAGCCCCCTGAGGGCAACCGCAATGCTGATGCGGCCCTCAATGAAATTGAGTTTGACACCTCTGTTGTAAGGTAAAAGGAAGTATTTTACTTCACTAATTGTTGCCAACTCTAGGGGGCGGTGCTCAGCTCCATTTCAAGGCCATTGAGCCAGCACTATCCAAAGACATTTCTTCAGTCATGTGGCCAGCATGACATCATCGAGCTCTGTTACCTTCCCACCAAGTGGTACCTATTTATCTATTTGCATTTGTATACTTTTAAACTGCTAG